CTTTTGTCTGCCCGAATGTACTCTGAAGCATCACCTTTGAACTTTCTGAGGTCTTAACAAGGGATTTAACAATTACATCCTTGGATCCATCTTTAGACCATGTTTTCCTGGCATGTCCTTTTATGTGTTCTTTTGGATTTGATCTTTGCTACAAATCATTTCTTAATTTAAACATCATTTGTCCTCTGAGAGGCTAGGAGTTTACAAAACCATCAAGTCCTGGTTGCTTTTGGTGAAACTGTCCCTTTGGCTTATCGATCTCCTCTTGCATTTTACTATAAGCAGCAAGAAACCCGGCGGTACCTTCAACACTCTGTATAAAAATCTCCTTAGTTACATCACCAGTTCATTAGGTAGTTTTTCTACTTTCCATGTTACGTCAGGTGACAGTATGGATAAACTTCCTGCTATTACATAACAAGGAGACCACTTCTCCCAGTTTCCAACTGCATTTACCTCATTTTCCTGCAAGCCTTCACCCACAGCCTCTTCACAGTCTATGAGGCTTCTGCCAACAGTTTCTTCAAAGTTCTTCCAGTTTCAACCCACCTCTCAATCCTGTTCCCTTTCACATTTTACATTCTTGTTATAGCATCCCACTTCCAGGCACAAAAATCTATTAGTTATCTATTGCTGCGTAACAAATAATCAGTACATTTAATGGTTTAAAACAACCAACATTAGAGTCATTTTTATGGGTTAGGAATTCAGAAGCATCTTCTCTGCGTGGTTCTGGCTCAGGATCTCTCATATGGTTGCAGTCAGGATGTCAGCAGTGGTTGCAATCTCATCTGAAGGCTTAATGGGGGCTGAAGGATCCACTTCCAAGACAGCTTTTCACATGGCTATTTGCAGAAGGCTTCAGTTCCTTGCCATGTGAGCCTTTCCATAGACAGCTTGAGTGTCCTCACAACACAGCAGCTAGTCTCTCCCAAGTGATTCAAGTGAGAACAAGGAAGCCACAATGTCTTTCATGCTTTAGTTTCAGAATGACACCTCATCTCTTCTTCCACATTCTGTTCCTTAAAATCAAGCCTAGGTACAGCCCACATTCAAGGGAAAAGGGGTTAGACCCTGCATTTTGAAGACAGCTGCATCAAATAATTTGTGGACCTTTTTTTAAACAAACACAAACCTCCCAAATTAGGAAGTCCTTGGGATTGTCTAAAGTAATCTCATGTCTTGCAGCTACTGAACTGAGAAAGAAAAAGAAAAAAAACAGATCCTTTAATTTGCTGAATTAAAATATCATTTGAATTCACAGCTTTGTAAGATCTCATAGGTGAAGACAGAGTATAGATTGGGAAAGAGCGAGACCCTGAATGCTGAACTGTGAACATATGGGAATGTTCAGATGGCTTCAAGTTCCCTAAACTCCCAACCCTATGAAAATATGCTGCTCAGATCTCCTGTTGCAAGGAACACAAATGACTGATGGACCCAGCTGCTACCTCTCTGGATCTTTCGCCCTCTCACTGAGGCCATACAACCCTGGGCTGCCCCCAGCCAACGACGGAGCGCGCAGAAGTGCCAAGACAGGCCCATTTTAGCAAAATGTGCAACTCCTCCTCTTGGCGACCTTGACTTAAGGTCTCCCCATTGGCCTGGCCAAACCTTCATTTGAACTGTGCTGCAGTTCAAGACCATATCTTCTTTTCCTCCCTCTGTCCTTCCGCAGGGATCACACACGCATCAGAATCTAAAGGCTCTCCCTACGTTCTGCCGCTCCCACCCTAATAAACCTCTCAAGCATCTAATGCCGTTTTGCCATTTGCTCCCTGGCAGACCCAAACTGCTGCAGCCTTCCTTGTCAGAGAAATTCTCCCTGCTCCCTCTGTGGTGAGGATTTTCCCACTTTGTGCGAAGACTCTGTAATGACCTTTGTGGAAATAGGCTGGCAGGAGGCTGGGGTAGCCAACTCTCCTTATTCTTCACCCCTAACATCCCTCACTGCCTTGAATGCTACCCATGTGCTAGAGGCAGTTTATCCTAGCTCACAAAAGCCAACTGTTAAATTTTCAGGAATTTAGCAAGTTGGTTGGTAAACACAGTCATTATTAAAACTTAAATAGACTTACAATTAAAATAAATTATATTAAAACCAAAGGTAACAAAACTCAAAAACCTCACCTCTTCCTGGTTTTTAACACGTTTTTGTTAGCATCTTGAGGTTATTTACATCTATTATGTCTGGGTGTTGGAAATAATATATAACGATGTGCTCCTTGCATTTCTCTTTGGATTTTGGAGGCCAGATTTAGATGTGCTGTTTCAGCTCATTGCTTTAGTAATCTGAGAGGTTGCCGGCTTTGAGGGCAGCCTGAAGCAAGAGGCGGCTTTCAGCTGGTCCAGAAATCTCTGCCCTCTGATCCAATGAATCCAGCATGCTCAAAGCACCTGTGGCACAGAGAGCTGCTGAATGGAGCTCTGGCATGTCCAGAAAGGCAAATCAGAGCACAGGCCCCCAGGGCTTTGCAGCTGAGCCAGGAGCTCTGTGGCATGTAACTGTTCTCCTTTAGAGAAACCAATCTCCATTTGTTGCTTGGCACCAGTTAATACGGCAGCCTGATCCTGAGACCTTAGGTAACCAAGCGACTGGTGCCCATCGTTAACCAAGTTCATCTGATCCACTAAGCCACAAAGTTGGCTAACATTTAGTGTGTGTGTGCAGTGCCAGGCTGTGTTCTAAGCACTTTACTGGTAACATTCCCTTTAATCCCCACCACAATTCTGGGAGATAGTACTGTTATTATTGCTACTGTCCTTACTTTAGATGAGAAAACTGAAGCAGAGCGAGGATAAGCAACTTGCCCCACAGTCATATAGCAAATAAGTAGCAGAGCTTGGTTTGAATCCAGGCCCTCCTGCTCCAAAGTCCACACATGTAATTACCAAATTATTTTGCTTCTCGTAATCAAGTGAAAGTTTTCTATTTAGGGCTGGGCTTGACCAGGAATTGAAGACAGAACAAATTGCATGGTGTGCCCGCTCCTACCACACTGTCATCTTCCTCAGCTTACACATTTGACCTGGGGACGTTCTCTAAGTCCAGGTGATGAAAGAGACAACCTCCACTATATGACGGCAGCAGCCACAAGCAGGCTGCCACAACACTGTAGCCCAACTCAAGGGTGGCCCTGAAGAACAGCTGAGAAGGGGAATTTTCCAGTAGACAGAAATGTAAGCATTTCATCCTGTTGACCACTTTGTCTGAAAGGAGAAATGGGCTGAGGTGCATGTCACCAACTAGTGGTCAGCAGCTGATGGCTTAGCTTAGTAGCCAGAGACTTGGAAGGATCGAGAATGCAGGGATAGTGACAAAGAGATTTGGGAGAAGAGGTATACAGGGGATCGCTCAGAATGGATCCAGAGTTTGAGAGTATTTGGTTCTTTGTGAATACCCACCAAAAGCCCTCCACTGATTGAGGAAGTGCTCAATAATCAGGTGAAAAGTTTGACCTGTCCTCTGCATGCCAGCCCGCTTCCTTCTCCAGAAGTTCCAATGTTGCCCGGTGATCTCGTGAGCAAAGTGGGCATGGAGGCAGAAATGCAGGCTCCATGTGGGTTCAGCAACTTGGATTTCCCCTCACGAAGGCTGACCTGGCTACTCCTTCTGTGGAATAATTGTCCAGTAATTAAAACCAAACTTGAGTCCCTAATATGAATTAGGCTTGAATGTAACAAAGCCAGGAACAATGTGTCCAGGGGAAAGAAATGAATTCTCTCCAGACCACCGCCAACACCATCTTGGCTCAGCACTTGAATGTCAGAATCCTGCCCCAGCTTGCCTGGTAGAACTGGATGCCTCCTCTGGGCTCTCAGGCTTTGGGGCTCCCGTGGGCTACCATGCGGGCATGTATGACAAGTTGAAACAGCAAGGGAGTCAGAGGAAAGTGGCCTGACTAGAATAGCAACCTATTCTGCAATTGCATTTGCTTTCCTGCTTAACAAACTTCTGCCCACACCAACATTTCTACACTTCCTGCATGCTCATTCACCACCATGGCATCCCACTCAACACTGAAACTCATTTCATAGCAGTGGGCTGACATATGCGTTCATTGCTTCTGTCATGTACTCCATCACCCTAATGTGTCCAGATGCATAGAGTGTATAGTAAAGACTCACTTACAGCCTGCAGATTATTGAAATGGGATCATGACAGACCCAGAGGATGAAAGGTCATCCATCACCCAGAGATTCTGTATTTGAAGACAAATACTATAACTGATAAAACTTTGGGATCCGATATCCTTTTAATAAATTCCTTTGATTAAATTATTCAGAGTGTATTTCAGAGGGAAAGATCTGGAAGGATGCATTCCAATGAGTAAAGAGTGGTTACTGCTGACTCTATAGGAAGTATTTATATTTTCTACGTTCTTTTTGTTAGTCTATATTTTCCACTTTTCCTAACATGAGCATTAACATGTTAAATAAAATAATTTTTTAAAATTTAATGTAAAAATATGTCATCTTGCGTTTCCATTAAACTTTATGACCCATGACATTATATTACAGGTACACATTTATTCTCAAGATTAACATGCCAAAAAACCCTCAGTAAGCTTAATTCAAAATGAAAGAAAATTATATTGTAAAGAAAGAGTAAAGGAGCTATTCACTCAAAACCAGGGAATATAATACACTGGGAAAATGAAATAGAGCAATTCTGCTTTTTAATGGTTTTATTTATTTTTACAAATAGTTGATATAACTATGTAGTATTGACAATGCTACCAAAATGTTAGAATACCAAATATGAAATTGATCTCACGGCTGATAAAATACATAAAATATTGATTAACTGAAGCAGAAGACTATTCTGAAATGTTTGTATTAGTTGTAAAGTTTATGGATGTTGCCAAGTCAAAATTGTACAACTGTGGAGGGACATTCATTATAAATTTTGTTTAATGTTTAAAGAGAGAGAGAAATAGCCAAGTACATAGTAAATGAAATCTGTCTAATCATCTTCCCAAGATTCTTCCGTGCTTGAGTTATTTTACAGAAGTCTTGTTACATTCACATTTACATTCCTTCCTCATACACATCTTCTCAAGGAACTAAAAAAAAAGATGAGAGAAACTCCTTTAAATTGGCAAACGAAAATTGTACGGTCTAGTCACAACCACTACCACACCCGAATTCACAGTCTCACACTCTGATGTATATCCTGATAGGACCCAAAATCTGATGTCGATGATAGACCATGCGAGATGGTGGACTTTGGAAGGTAGTTGCACACCATCAGAAATATCTAGATATAATTCACACTTTTTCCTGTGGCCAAGTCCAGCCCGGCCCAGCTCGGCACAGCCTTGTGCTGCTCATCTCTGCTATTAAAGGCCTGGGGCTTCTGTGTAGCCGAGAGAATGAAGCTGTAGGTAATGCACAGAGCAGTTAATCCAGCAGCAGATACTGGAATGTGTATGTAAGTATGTATGCTCATGTAACATACATAAACATGTATGTATACAAGGTGTACATAGACATTTAAGGGAGTAAAAAGAGAATGAATGCTCACATATAAATTTAAATAAGTAAGGATTTTATATATAGATAGATAATTTACCATCATAGATTCCCCCCTCTCTTTTAGTTGAAATCCTACTGATAAAATAGAGGATATAGGATATAAGAATAAAGGGAGAAAATATTCCAGGGTTTTGAGTGACAGGTGTTCTCAGGGGACTCAGCCATAGCCAGGGGCATCACCTCTCTTTAGTTGATGCAGCTAACAGAGTAACTAGTGAGTCAGGCATGCTTCCTTTTGCCCAAAATTGAACTAAATGTTCAGCAACAGAATGGATTCAACCAACAGGGGACAAATCAAAATAAATAAAACATCCTCTTTTGCCACTAAAGAAAAAACTATGAGTCGCTATAATGTCAAGAGCAAATAGGGATATATATGTATATACATATACCTCCTTGGCAAGAAGAATATATATGTGGGTGTGTATGTGTGTGTATGTATGTGTATGTGCACATATATATCACATAATTATATTTATGCTTAAGTATAATTTTGTGTGTATTATATAAATATATAATCATACATACAATTGTTATAAAATATATAAGCATATTTTATATATTATACATATAAATATATAAAATATATTTATGTAGGCCATATATGCAGATGAGGCAGTTACTAAATACATAAGTACAAAAATATGTGTAAGTATATTAACTATATCTTATATATAAGTATCTTATATATAAGATATATACTTATATCTAAGTCTATAAAATATACTTATGTAGGCCCACTGTTGATGCTCAAAGCTATTGGAGAGATTTCATCCTAGTTCTAGAATGGATTCTTCTAGCCCATTAGTCTATTATCGTACTCTAGACTTTCCCTTCACATCGCCTGATTTAACTTTGAACAAGTCTGGATCTGAGATTGGTCAATATATCTATCTGCCAGTAAGCGTCAGCTGTTGTTAGTTCTACCGCTCTTAGAAAAAAAGAAATCCAGTATCCTAGTTCCAGGAACTTCTACCATCTGGGCTGCAGGTCCTCCTAAGGACTCCACGGGCCGTGAGCACAGGGGACACTGGACAAACACAGAACTTATCAGCCACCACTTGGGCCCCAGGCCGAGCTGGCTTCCTGCCATGGTGACAGGGCTGGTCTGGGGACAGATCTCCAGGCTGCAGGCCCTCCTGCTAAACGGTCCGCTCTGCCAGCCTCCCACCCCACTCTTGTTATCTGTGGCCTCCCGGGGGAGCGCTCCATGTGGGAGGCGGGGGGGACCAGCAGCACAAGCTCAGGGAGAGGGAAAGACAAAGTGGGAAGAAGACGGAAGAGGCTGCAGGGCTGTCCGGGAAGTGACCTTTGGCCCTAGTCTGCGTCCTCATGTACCCCACAAATAGCACAATAATAGTCCCAGCTCCACTCCCAGCTCCACTTCGTCCTGACCCCAGCATGGCTCCTTAAAAGTAGAAGTGAAGGAGACTTGACACTTCCTGGAGAATTCACTGTTTTAGTAGCAGGCTCACACCCTGCACATGGATCCCTTTCACTTTGGCCCCGTTAAGGCCAAACCCAAGGAAAGTGAGTCAGCAGGGAGACAAAGCCTCGGACAGCAGGAGCCAAACAGGCGGAATGAAAAGAGCGGGATGCCAAATCCCATCTGTGGGCCCCCGTCTGGGGAAAGCACACCCCTTCTCCCAGGGCTGAGTCCTGGTGTGTCCCTCTAGAAGTATTTTGATTTTGTCAGGGTGCTGACCCCTTCCCATCAACAACTGTGAGCCCCTCAGTAGGTCTTTCCGAGGTCTTTCCGACCCTTTACTCACACTCGGCATCCTGTAGCCCCTGCTCAGAATGAAATCCTTAAAGGCAACTGTTCCATGAAGGTCTGCAAGTAACTCCTCCTAAAAGAGGGTCCACACTTTAAAAAACTGGTCAGCTGTCAGAAGCTTGATTTCATATTTGTCCTAATTAAAAGCACTTAGCCGTTTATCAAGTATGTTATTTTAAACGACTTCCTTCTCATTTAGGAATATGTGTGTAAATAACGTTCAGAAGTTGATGAATACAAAGGCTTTCAAAAGATATCCAACCTTCTCTCCTTTCTCTGTTCTTTTTCTCACCCTTGTATCAAGGATAAGCAACACATTTTATCAATTCGATCATTATTGACCTAGGATGTCCGGAATCTAATCTACTTGAGATTAATAATTGTGATACTGTGATTTATAATAAGAGACAGATATTTGGTCTTCTTCCCATTCCTGGCACAGAGGCCTTAAAACCCTTGGAATTTCCTAAGTCATGAGAGCCACAACGGTGAGAGTCTTTTCTTATTCATAACAAGCCCCTTTCAACCACACTGCAATTTATCTTAATGAAGTGTTTTTTGGAAAGCCCCTAGATAGCTACTAGATGGCGGCTGGTTGCCAGGGAAACCAACCACGTGATTAGAGGGTTGGCACTTTCAGCTGAACCTCCCCAACTCCAGGGAGGGGAGAGGAGCTGGAGGTTGAATTAATCACTAATGGCCAATGATGTAATCAATTATGCCAATGTAATGAAGCCTCTATACAAACCCAAAGGAGGGGGTTTGGAGAGCTTCCAAGTCGGTGAACATGTAAAGGTACCTGGAGAAGGCAAGGAAGCTCCAAGGCCCTCCCCACATGCCTTACCCTATGCATCTCCTCCATCTGGTTGCTCCTGAGTGTACCTCTTTATAATAAACTGGTAATCTTACTAGATTGTAAGTACACTGCTTTCCTGAGTTCTGTGAGCTGTTCTAGCAGATGATCAAACTCAAGGAGGGTGTCGTGTGAACCTCTGACTTACAGCCAGTCAGCCAGAAGCACAGGTGACAACCTGGACTTGAGACTGGCATTTGCAGTGGGGGCAGTTTTGTGGGACTGAGCCCTTAACCTGTGGCATCTGATGCTCTCTCCAGGTAGGTGGCATCAGAATTGAGTAGAATTGTAGGACATCCAGCTAGTGTCAGGGAATTAGAGAATTGCTTGGTGTGGGGAAAACCCCCCGACACATTTGCTGACCAGAATTGAGAGTGGTAGAGGAAGAAATGGGAGTCTTTTCCTACTCAATATATATCCACAAATTTTAGATCTTAACTCCAAAGGGCATGATAATCAAAAAAGACTTGATCCAGTCCCAACATCTTAGGGGTATTCATGCATTCATTTGGCTTTTCCTTTTATTTATTGGAATTTAAAATTTGGGATATAGAAGTTTATATCATTGTAATTCAGTTCTTTAAGACCATTTCACCTTCCAAATGAACTCAATCAAGAATAGTCAAAAGTCATGTGTTTCCAGCAAGACAGCCATGTCATCACAGTGTCCCTTACCAGCACACGATTGCACCCATGTCTTGTGAACTGACTTCAATATGACGTGGCATTTGCACTGTGACAACCTTCAGCTCAGATGATCAAGCCTCAGCATATACACGTACCTGTTCCCATAGCTCCTTTTTAATATTCTCATCTTGAGCTTTACGTAAGACCTTGGGGTCAACCAAAGGTTCATCGGCTCTTTGCTTTTTCCACAACTTGGTGTTCAGATACCATGCTCCGTACCTCATCTTCACCCACTTTGGTGTATAAGGATTCTGTAGAAATACCATAATTCCCAATTTCATTAGTTTGTTTGGTTTGTCATTTCAATAAAGCTAAGATTTAGCTTATGAAAGCAGTATCATTTATTTTTAATTTATGGTTACTCCTTGCCAAAGTATTTTATGAAGTTTCAGTGTGCTTTGATTTACAAAGGTAACGTGAAAAGTTCATGACTGAGAAAATAATGTGGTAGTTAAGCATGGCTTTTGGATTTAGACAAACGTGGGCTCAAATCCAGCCTTCCGCACTTAGTAGCTATGAGTCCATGGACAAGTTAGTTAGATTCTTCATTTGTAAAATAGAGATAATAGTATCTACCCCATAGGGTTGTTGGGAAGACTAAAGGAGAGAATTATGTAAAGCAGCTAGAACTCATGTAAGAATCACATATTTCGGTGAAGGGTAATGACCTTCAACAATACTCGGTCAACCAAAATAATAAGTTATCAGCCTCTCTGTGAGCCCAGCTCTATACTCAGCTTTGTGAATGGTACACTACCTTTTGATCCAAATGCTATTCAACACCAGTCTCTTGCCTCTTTATTTTTTAATTTTAAAAAAATATTATTATTTATTTATTTATTGGGCTGCACCACGTCTGAGCTGCGGCACGTGGGATCTTCATGGCCGCCGTGTGTGGGATCTGCAGTTGTGGCATGCGGGATCTTTTTAGTTGTAGCATGCGAACTCTTAGTTGCAGCGTACGGGATCTAGTTCCCTGACCAGGGATCGAACTCGGCCCCCTGCATTGGGAGTGTGGAGTCTCAACCACTGGACCACCAGGGAAGTCCCTCTTGCCTCTTTAATTGGAAGAGAGAAAGAGGGGGAGGAAGAAAGAAAGAGGGGGAGGAAGAGAGAAAGGCGGGGGAAGAGATGTCTTTCCTTTCTTTCTCCCATTCCTCAGGAGTGCATCTGCTGGTTCACAGCCTGATGCTGTGATGCAATACCCGCTCATTGTCTCATCATGAAAGGAGGTCTAACGCTTGTGTAGGACAAAGAAACATGAAACACAAAGACCCTGATCCTCCCTCTTCTCACTCATATCTAAACTATGAGGTGGAACGTGTGGCCATTCTAGAGTCAAGCCAGAAACACCCGCCTGAAACAGAGATGATGGGACAGAGCAGAGGGGAGGGAAATCCCTTCTCAGAGCTGGATTCAGCATTATGATCCCTCCATTCCAAGCAGACTGACCTCCTTGCTAGAGCAAGGTTTCTAGAGCACCTATCACACTGCTGCCTCAGTGCCTTTGCACTCACTCTTCCCTCTCCATAATGCTCTTCCCCAAGACACCCACATGGCTCACTCTCTTACCTATTTCAGGTCATCTTTTCAGTTGTATCTTCCCTGACCACCCAATTCAAAAACTGTAACCCCTCACAACACTGCTTGTCTTCTTTCCTTGCCTTTCCTTGCCTCATTTTTCTGAACAGCACTTATCGCCACTTGATATGCTGTATATTTTTCTGATTGTTTGTTGTCTCACCTCTCACCTTCTAAAATGTAAGCTGCTGAGCTTGTTCCCTGCTACATCCCCCTGGCATCTAGAACAATACTTAGGACACAACAGGTGCTCAATAAATATTTGTTGGGTTAAAATCAGGTTTCTTAACTTCAGCGTTATTGACATTTTGAGCTGGATAATTCTTTGCTGGAGGTGGGGGGCGGCGGTGCTGTCCTATGCATTGTAAGATGTTGAGCAGCATTCCTGGTCTCCACCCACGAGATGCGAGTAGCATCTCCAAATTGTGACAACCAAAAACGTCATCTCCAACATTGCCAAATATCCCTGGTGGGGTGTGGGGGTGGGGAGGGGGACACAATTGCCCTGGCTGAGAACCACTGAAATAAAGGGAGGAGGGTAGGAGAGGAAAGAGAGGAAAAAGGAAAGGAAGGGAGAGGAACGCAATCTACATATTGCTCCACTAACGAACTTGAGCTCTGGCATACGTTAGGTTGCTGGGTACCTGGTGATCTTTCAAGATTCAGCACAAACATAATTTCTTCTGTGAAGTCTTAACTGTACCCACCCTCAGCCCATGCCTGGTGGAACTGGTTACTTCTTCCTACAACCCGGCTGAACCATGACATCATTTCATTATAGTCAGTCATTTATCCATTGACCTCACTAGACCGTAAGCTCCTTAAATGCAGGAAACAGTCCTTCATTTGCTCCCAGCACTTTTCTGCACATAGTAACAGATGCTCAGAAGTGTTTGTTGAATTAATGTATAAATAAATGGATGAATGAATATACAGGGCAAAGAGAAACATGCTACAATAGAGACACAAACTGCTGTGAGAGATTAGAAGAATAAATTAATGTCAACCGAAGGACCTGGAGAAAACTCCACGGAAAAATTGGCATCTGACCTGTGTCTAAAGGAAGATGTAAGAGTGTAGACATGAGAAGAGGGGCACGTCAGGCAGAGGGAATACTGTGAGCAAAGGTAAGGCAGTCGAAAAGCTCAGAGTTTTAAAGAACATCAAAGAGCAGAGGATAACAGGCCTGAAGAGTATGTGGAATAAGAAAATAAAGATGGAGATTCCATCCCCGGAATAGGGACCAGATTTATCCTTCCACCTGCAACAACCAAAAAACGAAATATAGATATATAGATACATATATATATTTATAAGACACTGGACATCAAATAGCAAAGGACAGTGATCCCTGAGAGGCAAAAAGTGAATGAGATAAGCCCCCCAACTGCCCCAGTTCACTGTCTGCAGAGTTCCCAGGCCACAGAGCAGGAGAAGGAGGAGCCCAGGAGGAACCTAGTGGACTTTTTGAGTTGAGAAGACAGAACTGAGAGTCCAGGAAGACCAAGGCAGCTAAAGTTTGCAGCCCAGAGTAACAGAAAGGAAAGAGCTGCACAGAGAGGGAGCTACAGAGGTTTGCAGAGGGTCTCCATCTGTGTATGTCTGGGAGGAAACCACCTGAGGTCTGGGAAAGAACTAACCAAAAGGATTAGAGAGAACAGTGTCCTGCATGCACACAGGGCCAGGGCCAGGGCCTGTTCCCTCCTGGGAGACTCAAAGATTCACAGGATACTGGGTCGAATACACAGAAGGGTCTTGCATCAGTAGGAGGGAGTTAGCCCTAGACGAAACATTATTTTGACCCTTCTCAACAGTTCTTAAAAGCAAGACCCAAAAGGATCAAACTTTTCCAGACACAAGAAACATGAAGGCATACACACCAATGTATATAATAACCACACTGCTCAAAACCAGTGACAAAGAGAAAGTATTAAAAGCAGCCAAGAAAAAACAGGTCCAGAAAAACAAAGATAAGGATGACATAAGATTTCTCATCAGAAACAACACAACCAAGAGGACGTGGAGCAACATTTTTAAAGGACTAAAAACAAACAAAAAACTTTGAACCTAGAATTCTATACCCACAAAAATATCTTTAAAAATGAAGGAAGAACAAGGATATCTTCAGACGTAGGAAAGCTGGAAGAATTCATCGCCAACAGATCTACACTAGAAATATTAAAAGAAGTCCTTCAGGCGGAAGGAAAATGATACTCTGTGGAAATCTATTTGAACTTTTGCATAGTGATCCTCCATCGGCCAGTCAAAAGTTGGATTTTGGCAATAACCACCATGCTTTATAAAGCAGCATTTGTGCAATTATTTGTAAATATAGAGAACTGAGCAGTTTCATTCAGCCCAGATTCAGAACAAGCAGTGGTTCAGGCCCCATGTGCCTGAACCACATGGATATAATTTGCCTGTCCAGCATCATTCTGCATTCTACCCTTTAGAAAGATGAGAGGAGAATGGAAAATTTAAAGTGCTAAATTAGTGATGGAATGCATAGTTTTCATAAACTTTATGCAACAGAGTCAAAGATGGAAAACATCACGAATGTAAAAATAGGTCAGCTGATCATGTTCAATTATGAAAGGACAAAGTTGGTATGTCAAAAATATTGGAAATACAGTATCAAAGATTATGTGTAAAAGACAGAGGGAAATTATTATCTTCACTTCCAGAGAAACTAACTCTGTAATCTCCCCGCTTCCCACCCACACTTAGGCACGTAAATCTGTTGTTGGACTGGCACAATTTGACTTGTGTACATACATTTGCACTAACACATTGTGTAGAAAAGTACTTAGGGGCCCATGGTACTTCCCTTTAGGACATAGCTTGTTTTTTCTCGTCTCTGCTTCCTTGTTCTGTCTTCAGAGGAAATTGGTGCTGGGAAGCTGAGCGATTTGTTAATTATCAGGCAAGCATACGGTCAAGAATGATGGTCTGTGGTCGAAAAGACGGCCATAAAAATTCAAGAATTCTTTGGACATACACAGTGTTCACAATTGTTAACTGCAGCATCTTACTCTTGCAATAATAAACATTCATGTATATTTCTACTGACTATTAGAATTTCAACATGTAAAACACATAAAGAGATAGATTTCAACATATAAAACACACAGAGAGGTTGTCTCAACATATAAAACACATAAAGAGGGAAATAATGACTGTTCAGATATTAACAATAATGCTGAATGGCCTGCCTTGTTTGTATAACTGACTTTTTAAGATGTATTAAATATTCATTCATTTAACAAATGTTTGTTTATTTATTGTATTTTTTACAAATGTTAAACATCAAAAAAATTTCAAGAATTTTACTGAAAAAGGTCAGTGCCTTCTGAAGTACCAGAAGTCAAGAACATTTAATATTTTAATACAAGTTAATTTCCTTTGATTCTCAGTCTTTCTCCCTTTTGGCAGTTACCTGTGGTTTCTGAAGTCTCTGCTCATAGTGTAGTTTCTGGGAAAACTGTGGCTTCTGCAGTTTATTCAGCCCAATCCTTTCCTTTAGCTCCAGAGGAACCTGGCTGGGTCTCATTGTGTGGAGCACATTATAGCTTGGTTTGCTCTGACAGTCGATGTCAAACTGTTTCAGGATGAACTCCTCATCAATGTTCAGGCCCCCCTGGAAGAATAGCACAGGGCATGAGTCAAGGACAAATGGTGACATGCCCCTTCTTCCTTCTTTAATCTACAGGAGGTATTCGACCATGGCCGGAGAAGAGAGAGGTGGTTTAAAGGAGAGGTAGAAAGTGCTCAGTCACCATTTGTAGGAGACAAGAAGTATTTGGGGTCTGGAGAGCTTTGTCAGTGCATTAAGAGACAACTTAGGACCTACAAGAAGCAGTGAGTCCTGAGGGAGATAGTGATGCTGAGGAAAATTCAGTCTGTTTGATCAAAAGCAAACATCTCCAACACTTTATAGTAGTAACATCTTTAGAGGTATTTTCCAGACATGTCTGGAAATGTTAGTGTGTGCTCCGCCCACAGCCCCTTATACAGGAAGCTGCCCTGTTCGGGGCTCCTACCGAAGCCATGGGCTCCTTCTAGTCGGCCATGTTTTGTGCACAGAACAAACCCGCCTTCCGTCCCCCAGCCATAGCTGGCAGGAGTACAGATGGGCACATTAAGAGCCCCTAATCTGTAGACTGACCATGGATCTATGATATGGCTGAAAGATAACTTAGATTTGAAGGATAGTAGAATATAGCACCCCAAAATATGCCTCTGGCTTAAGGCTTATTTTGAGCTGATGATTTTGAGAAACAGCAGACAACACAGGAAACGATCTAGAAACGGAGTAGAAGTCACCCTTTAAGTGAAATTTACATTTATTAAAAAAGCTCCACTTGTAAGGCTGTCTCCCTCTCCATTCCAGGAAGAGAAGGAAGACTTTAAATCATAAGACACGCTTAGCAAAGGAAAAGGCACCCACTTAAATTTGCATAATAAACCATACTCTTGTTCTCCTATTTCTTCCTGGTCACCTCCCCATTACTGACTCCCCACACCATTCTCTCTTTTTCCTTGGCGCAAGTTGGTATTTGAGCCTGAATTCTAAGCCATCTAGGAGAGTTAGTCATTTTTCCCTGGGTATCTCCCATGTATATATGAGGTATACTTGTTAATAAACTTCTGTTTGTTTTTCTCTTGTTAATCTGCCTTTAGTTATAGAGATTCCAGAGAGAACTTAGAAGAATAAAAGGAAAATTATTTTTTCCTGCTCTACAGGCTCAACACAATCCTACTTTGGACTATATAAGTTGGGGAATGTAGAGAATGAGGTCATTAGCAACTGAAGCTGATGCTGGAGTGAAATTTATAGACAGGGGTCATTAAATCGAGTCAGGGGTATAAACTAGAGCAAGCAGAATCAATGAGGTAAAAAAACAGATAAATAAACAACATGGAAGGAAAGTATAAACTAGTGCTATGGAGAAAATACCACAGGGTGATGTGATTGGGACCAAAGTAGTATGACAGTTATGGGACCTTGGTCATAAGGGACTGAAAACAAGGCTGGTTACCACAGCAGTTAAACAATTATCCTAGGGTTCCTTACACTTCCTGCCTCGAAAGAGGAATAGTCTCCAGCAGTAGGAATGAAAGAAGTGGAAGGGCTGGGACTCGGGCAATCCTATCGAGTCAGCTTGTAGACAAGCAGTGGTAGAGTGGGCATCACCTACCCTGTCCAGCATCCCTACTCCAGTCACACTCTGGAGAGCCTCCCTCCACCACTTTCAGTCAATCTGTTGCGAATGGGCTGGACATGCCCACCTCTTGGCCTCAGGGTTGGACATGTGACCTAGACCAGTCAATGAGCATATTCAATCTCCTTACTCATAGTGGATATAATTCAGGCACAGGTGTGACCCACGTTAGTCTGGTGAGAGTAAGCCCTGGATTTGTCCCTATGGGAAGAAGGTTGCTCTTTTCCCATGTTAGGTTGTTGCCTGGTGGGATATAAGCTTGGAAAATTTAGTGAATACTTTTGATATCTCTTAGGGAAAGACTACAGGAATGTGAAGTCAGAAGAGAGTAGCTAAGTGATAGGGAGAGCACCTAAAAACATTTTAGCACCCAGATCCAGCTGTGCCTGAAGCTCTGAATACTTCTGGATGATTCCCTTTTCTCACTTAATCTAGTCTGAATTACATTACTTGCCAAAGAAATAGTCCAAAATAATATATTGACTAAAACTGACTAATACACTAAAAAAATGGGGGGAGGGGGATTGAAAATTATAGAGAGTCTTAAATTCAGGAAAAAAGCATCAGGAATCTAGACATCTACAGGGACTCAGGGACAGAAATAGATAACTAAAAAGGTTCTTAGAAGGAGGGCAAGAAAAGAACTTGATAACTGAGTCAAAAGTCTCTTCATGTCAAATACTTTTCGTTAACGACTGTAGTCAAGCGTAGCTTTCCAAGTACTTACAGATAAATATAACTGAGAAAAATGAATTGAAGAAAGAGGGAAGGACAGAGAGAAAAGAAGGTCCTAACATTGAAATGAAAGATTAAAATATGAAACAATGGGGTGGGGGAAATGGGGAGATGCCCAAAGGGTACAAACTTCCAGTTATAAGATGAGTAAGTTCTGGGGAATCTAATGTACAGCATAGTGACTCTAGTTAACAACGCTTTATTATATACTTGAAAGTTGCTAAGAGAGTAAATCTTACATGTTCTCACCTCACACACACAGAGGTAATTACATGAGGTGATGGATTTGTTAACTAACCAGATCATGGTAATCATTTTGCGGTATATACATGTATCAAATGATCACATTGTATACCTTAAACTTACACGTTACATGACAACTGTATCTCAATAAAGTTGGGTGCAGAGAGCCACTTTAAAAAATATATGAGAGGGCAGACAGCAGAAGCAAGAAGAACTACAATCCTGGAGACTGTGGAACAAAAGTCACATTCAGAGAAAGACAGACAAGATGAAAAGGCAGAGGGCTATGTACCAGATGAAGGAACAAGATAAAACCCCAGAAAAACAACTAAAAGAAGTGGAGATAGGCAACCTTCCAGAAAAAGAATTCAGAATAATGATAGCGAAGATGATCCAGCACCTCGGAAAAAGAATGGAGGCAAAGATCGAGAAGACGCAAGAAATGTTTAACAAAGACCTAGAAGAGTTAAAGAACAAACAAACAGAGGTGAACAATACAGTAACTGAAATGAAAACTACACTAGAAGGAATCAACAGCAGAATAACTGAGGAAGAAGAACGGATAAGTGACCTGGAAGACAGAATGGTGGAATTCAATTCGACGGAACAGAATAAAGAAAAAAGAATGAAAAGAAATGAAGGCAGCCTAAGAGAACTCTGGGACAACATTAAACGCAACAACATTCGCATTATAGGGGTCCCAGAAGGAGAAGAGAGAGAGAAAGGACTGGAGAAAATATCTGAAGAGATTATAGTCGAAAACTTTCCTAACATGGGAAGGGAAATTGCCACCCAAGTCCAGGAAGCGCAGAGAGTCCCGTACAGGAGAAACACAAGGAGAAACACGCCGAGACACATAGTAATGAAATTGGCAAAAATAGAAGACAGAGAAAAATTATTGAAAGCAGCAAGGGAAAATGACCAATAACGTACAAGGGAACTCTCATAAGGTAAACACCTGATTTCTCAGCAGAAACTCTACAAACCAGAAGGGAGTGGCATGATATACTTAGAGTGATGAAAGGGAAGAACCTACAACCAAGATTACTCTACCCAGCAAGGATCTCATTCAGATTCAATGGAGAAATCAAAAGTTTTACAGACAAGCAAAAGCAAAGAGAATTCAGCACCACCAAACCAGCTCTACAGCAAATGCTAAATGAACTTCTCTAAGTGGGAAACACAAGAGAAGTAAAGGACCTACAAAAACAAACCCAAAACAACTAAGAAAATGGTAATAGGTACATACATATCGATAATTATCTTAAACATGAATGGATTAAATCCTCCAGCCAAAAGACACAGGCTCGCTGAATGGACAGAAAAACAAGACCCATCTATATGCTGTCTACAAGAGACCCACTTCAGACCTAGGGACACACACAGACTGAAAGTGAGGGGATGGAAAAAGATATTCCATGCAAATGGAAAAGAAAGCTGGAGTAGCAATACTCGTGACAGATAAAATGACTTTAAAATAAAGAATGTTACAAGAGACAAGGACAGACACTACATAATGATCAAGGGATCAATCCAAGAAGAAGATATAACAATTATAAATATATATGCACCCAACATAGGAGCACCTCAATATATAAGGCAACTGCTAACAGCTATAAAAGAGGAAATCGACAGTAACACAATAATAGTGGGGACTTTAACACCTCACTTACACCAATGGACAGATCATCCAAACAGAAAATTAATAAGGAAACACAAGGTTTAAATGACACAATAGACCAGATAGATTTAATTGATATTTATAGGACATTCCATCCAAAAACAGCAGATTACACTTTCTTCTCCAGTGCACACAGAACATTCTCCAGGATAGATCAAATCTGGGCTACAAATCAAGCCTCAGAAAATTTAAGAAAATTGAAACCATATCAAGCATCTTTTCTGACCACAACACTATGAGATTAGAAATCAATTACAGGGAAAAAAAACGTAAAAAACACAAACACATGGAGGCTAAAAAATACATTACTAAATAACCCAGAGATCACTGAAGAAATCAAAGAGGAAATCAAAAAATACCTAGAGACAAATGACAATGAAAACATGATGATCCAAAACCTATGGGATGCAGCAAAAGCAGTTCTAAGAGGGAAGTTTATAGCTATACAAGCCTACCTCAAGAAACAAGAAAAATCTCAAATAAACAATCTAACCTTACACCTAAAGGAACTAGAGAAAGAAGAACAAACAAAACCGAAAGTTAGCAGAAGGAAAGAAATCATAAAGATCAGAGCAGAAATAAATGAAATAGAAACAAAGAAAACAATAGCAAGGATCAATAAAAGAAAAGCTGGGTCTTTGAGAAGATAAACAAAACCATTAGCCAGACTCATCAAGGAAAAGAGGGAAAGGACTCAAATCAATAAAATTAGAAATGAAAAACGAGAAGTTACAATGGACACCGCAGAAATACAAAGCATCCTAAGAGGCTATGATAAGAAACTCTATGCCAATAAAATGGACAAACTGGAAGAAATGGACAAATGCTTACAAAAGTATAACCTTCCAAGACAGAACCAGGAAAAAAATAGAAATTTGAACAGACCAATCACAATGAATGAAATTGAAACTGTGATTAAAAATCTTCCAACAAACAGAAGTCCAGAAGCAGAGGGCTCCACAGGTGAATTCTATCAAACATTTAGAGAAGAGCTAACACCCATCCTTCTCAAACTCTTCCAAAAAATTGCAGAGCAAGGAACACTCCCAAACTCATTCTATGAGACCACCATCTCCCTAATACCAAAACCAGACAAAGGTACTACAAAAAAAGAAAATTACAGACCATGAACATAGATGCAAAAATCCTCAACAAAATACTAGCAAACAGAATCCAACAACACATTAAAAGGATCATACAACATGATCAAGTGGGATTTACCCCAAGGTTGCAAGGATTCTTCAATATGTGCAAATCAATCAATGTGATACACCATATTAACAAACTGAGGAATAAAAACCATACAATCATCTCAATAGATGCAGAAAAAGCTTTTGACAAAATTCAGCACCCATTTATGATAAAAGCTCTCCAGAAAGTGGGCATAGAGGGAACCCACCTCAACATAATAAAGGCCATATACGACAAACCCAAAGCAAACATCATTCTCAATGGTGAAAAACTGAAAGCATTTCCTCCAAGATCAGGAACAAGACAACGATGTCCACTCTCACCACTATTATTCAACATAGTTTTGGAAGTCATCACCACAGCAATCAGAGAAGTAAGAGGAATAAAAGGAATCCAAATTGGAAAAGAAGAAGTAAAACTGTCACCATTTGCAGATGGCATGATACTATACATAGAGAATCCTAAAGATGCCACCAGAAAACTACTAGAGCTAATCAATGAATTTGGTAAAGTTGAAGGATACAAAATTAATGCACAGAAATCTCTTGCATTCCTGTACACTAATGATGAAAAATCTGAAAGAGAAATTAAGGAAACACTCCCATTTACCCCTGCAACAAAAAGAATAAAATACCTAGCAATAAACCTACGTAGGGAGACAAAAACATGTAAGCAGAAAACTATAAGACACTGATGAAAGAAATTAAAGATGATACAAACAGATGGAGAGAAACACCATGTTCTTGGATTGGAAGAATCAATATTGTGAAAATGACTATACTGTCCAAAGCAATCTACAGATTCAATGAAATCCCTATCAAATTACCAATGGCATTTTTTATGGAACTAGAACAAAAAAATCTTAAAATTTGTATGGAGACACAAAAAGACCCCGAATAGCCAAAGAGGTCTTGAGGGAAAAAAACAGAGCTGGAGGAATCAGACTCCCTGAGTTCGGACTATACTACAAAGCTACAGTAATCAAGACAATATGGTAGTGGCACCAAAACAGAAATACCGATCAATGGAACAAGATAGAAACCCTGGAGATAAACCCACGCACCTATGGTCAACTAATCTATGACAAAGGAGGCAAGGATATACAATGGAGAAAAGACAGTCTCTTCAATAAGTGGTGCTGGGAAAACTGGACAACTACATGTAAAAGAATGAAATTAGCACACTCCCTAACACCATACGCAAAAATAAACTGAAAATGGATTAGAGACCTAAATGTAAGACCAGACACTCTAAAACTCTTAGAGGAAAACATAGGAAGAACACTCTTTGACATAAATCACAGCAGGATCTTTTTTGATCCACCTCCTAGAGTAATGGAAATAAAAACAAAAGTAAACAAGTGGGACCTAATGAAACTTAAAAGCTTTTGCACAGCAAAGGAAACCATAAACAAGACGAAAAGACAACCCTCAGAATGGGAGAAAATATTTGCAAACAAATCAACGGACAAAGGATTAATCTCCAAAATATATAAACAGCTCATGCAGCTCAATAACAAAAAACAAACAACCCAATCCAAAAATGGGCAGAAGACCTAAATAGACTTTTCTCCAAAGAAGACATACAGATGGCCAAGAGGCACATGAAAAGCTGCTCGACATCACTAATTAGTAGAGAAATGCAAATCAAAACTACAATGAGGTATCACCTCACACCAGTTAGAATGGGCATCATCAGAAAATCTACAAACAACAAATGCTGGAGAGGGTGTAGAAAAAGGGAACCCTCTTGCACTGTTGGTGGGACCACCATGGAGAACAGTAGGGAGGTTCCTTCAGAAACTAAAAATAGAATTACCGTATGACCCAGCAATCCCAATACTGGGCATATACCCAGAGAAAACCATAATTCAAAAAGACACATGCATCCCAATGTTCATTGCAGCACTATTTACAATGGCCAGGTCATGGAAGCAACCTAAATGCCCACTGACAGATGAATGGATAAAGAAGTTGTGGTACATATATACAACGGAATATTACTCAACTGTAAAAAGGAACGAAATTGGGTCATTTGTGGAGTTGTGGATGGATCTAGAGACTGTCATACAGAGTGAAGCAAGTCAGAAAGATAAATATCATATATTAACACATATATGTGGAACCTAGAAAAATTTTACCGATGAACCAGTTTGCAGGGCAGAAATTGTGACACAGATGTAGAGAACAAACGTATGGACACCAAGGGGGAAAAGCCGTGAGGGGTGGGGGGGTGGTGTGATGAATTGGGAGATTGGGATTGACATGTATACACTGATGTGTATGAAATGGATGACTAATAAAAACCTGCTGTATAAAAAAATAAAATTCAAAGAAAATGTACTGATAATGGCACATTAATTTTTTCAAGTGTACCATACTAATCATTAACATGAGAGATGTTATTAATAGGAGGAACTGGGCATGGGAAATATGGGAAATTTCTTACTATTTTTGAAACTTTTCTGTAAATCTAAAACAATTCCAAAATAGAAAGCTAATTTAAAAAAATTATAATAATAAAAAAATTTTTTTAAATATATATGAAACAACAGCAATGTACATATAAACAATAAACATTCAAACATTGGCTGTAAGCTTGCAAACTTTCCAGAAATTTCACCTACAAGAAACATTTCTATTTTAAACAGTAGGAGAGTCAAAAGATTCCTTTACGACTTTGCCTATTTGACTTAGATTATATCCAAACACTGTTTTTTAACAAAAGCAACTTTGAGCTTGACTTGTAAGTATTACCAGTAACTTACAAACTTAGTAGCCCAGCTGCAGAAGTCGCTAACTCCTTTGCGTACGTTTTCATGAAGTGGTGGACCATCATTGCAGAGCAGATCTGTTTCACTTGGCTTCTTTCCTTCATAAAGCCATTGGCCTGCATGTGACACAGGAGTCTTCTTGGGACTAAAGTTAATGAGATCATCAAAGAATCACAATATACAGCGCCATGAATCCAGGTGGATTTCAAATAGTATCTTGGGGAGGAGCTCATAATGCAAGTATGTTTAACAGGCAGGCTCTTGCAAGCTGGTACAAATTCTATGTAAATATTTTTCAAAGATCATATTCTCATTATCAATATCATAAAGACAAGTATATCATATATATTTAGAACAATTAAAGCTGATATAGAATTTTATCACTGTAAGTTAATTTTTTTAAATTATGAGTACCATTTATTAAGACCTATTTCAGGTAAAAACACAAATTACAGTGCTTGGAATCTGTCAAGACTATCTTGACAAGTAGGAGATATCCTTGCCTTCTCTCTCCCTCAGCCCTAAACTCCAGCCTATTAGTAAATCTGGTAGATTTTAACTCTGTCTCCTTCTCTGGACTGTTGCAAAAGGCTCCTTGCTGGGGTCTCTGCATTTTCTCTTAAGGCCCTAACTGCTAATCCCTAATCCATTCCCAAAGTGTAAATCTTGTCTTATCAAATGCAGCTACCCTTCATCCTGGATTAAGCCTCTTCAATAGCTTCTTTTTAAAACTCACCCCAAAAAAGACTGTTAATAAACATTAACAGTCACTGTTCATCTCCCCACCCCCACCATTCTCTCTGCTCTTAAAAACCACTAATCTACTTTGTGTCTCTGTGGATTTGCCAATTCTGGGCATTTTATCTGAATGGAACCATATAATATATGATCTTTTATGTCTGACTTCTTTCACTTAGCAAAATGTTTTCAAGTTTCATACATGCTGTTGCATGTATCAGTAGTTTCTTCCTTTTTTATGGCTGAATAATATTCCATTGTATGGAGAGACCACATTTTGTTTATCCATCATCAGTTGGTTGATGGATATTTCAGTTGTTGCCACTCTGGCTATAATGAATAATGCTGCTATGGACATTCAGGTACAAGATTTTTGAGTTCAATAGCTTCTTGTTACTCCTCCAGTGAAGATCTAAGTCTAAACTCAGTTTTCAGGGCTCTTCATGGCCTGTTCCTTGCCTATCTCTCCAGATTCTTCTGTAACTACACACTCTCTCACTCTCTGAGCTCCAACCATAGTGGCCCCCTCTCAGTCCCATGAATTTATCATGCTCCCATCCAGCCACAGGGCCTTTGTACATGTTATTCTAACTGACTGCAATGCCAACTCCATTCCCTCATCCCCATTATGTCTCAACATACATGCTACTTACTCAGGGAGGTATTCACACAGTCTGTCCCCAGAACCCACATTTTATTCATAGCACCCTGTACCTTTTATTCATAGCACCTATATATTAATTCATCCATCCATCCATTCAACAAATATTTATTAGGCACCAACTATGTGCCAGGCACCATTCTAGGCATTTGGATTCAGCTGTAAATAAAGTTAAGACCCTGTCCTCACAGAGCTTACAATTGAGTAGGGAGAGACAGATAGGAAAGAGCTAAACAAATATACACCAGGTGATTATAAGTGGTATAAAGAAAAATAAAACGGGGCAGGAGGGATGAAGAGTGATGACAGGAGGCTCTTATTTACACAGAAAAGTTCTCTCAAAGTGATCTTTGCGCAGAGACCCAAAAGAAGAAAGGGATTAAACCATGTAGATATCAAACAATGCAGACACCAGGCAGAAAAGAAAAGCATGTGCAAAGGCCCTGAGGTTGGTGCTAAGCATGTATGAGGTACACAAAGAGGTCAATGCGACTGGAGAGGAGTACTTAAAGGATATAATAGTAGAGGATGAGGCCTGAAGAGATAATGGGAACCTGATCATAAGGAACTTGAGAGGCAACTGTAAGGACTACGGACTTTACTCTGAATAAGTAAGTAGGCAACTGGAGAATTTTGAGCACAGGACTGATATTGTATGACTTAAGTTTTTTACAGAATCACTTTAGCTATTGTGCAACAAATAGACCGGGGCAGGGGATGGGGGCTGGGTGGAGGCCATGAGACCAGTTAGTAAACTACTCCAATAATCCAGGCAAGAGATGATGGTATCTTGGAATAGACTGACAGTAGTAGAGCAGGTGAGATTCTAGGTATATTTCAAAGGTAAAGGTGTTAGGATTTTTTGGCAGATTGCAACCACTGTTTCAAAAGCCACTGGAAGAATGGAGTTACTATTTACTGATCTGGAGAAGACAGAAGCGGGTGTAGGTTTGGGGAAGAAATCGAGAGTTCAGTTAGGACTTGTCGAGTCTGAGATGCCAACTAGACACTCAAAGGCAAATGTTAAACATCCATACATAGATGGACCGAATGAGGTGACTTAGATTGCGTAAATACGCAGAAAAGAAGATGTCAGAGACTGACGCACTTCAAGGTTAAAAAGAAGGTGAGGAAGGACCAGCAAAAGAAGACTGGGGAGAGGGCCATGAAGCAGGAGGAGAGCCAAGAGGATGTACCAGAGACAAAATGAAAAAGTGTTTCGAGACAGATGATATCAATTGTGTCAGCTGCTACTGTTACATCAAGTGGTGATCACTGAGAACTGATTAGGTAACATAGAGGCCATTGGTGACCTTGACCCAAGGGAGATCCAGTGGAGTGCTGATTGCTGAGTTCAAGAAAGAAGGAAAGAGGAAGTGAGTATGGACACCTCTTTCAAGGAGTTCTGCTCTAAAGGAAAGAAGAGACTATAGAGTTAAAGAAAGTTGTTTTAAAGATGGGAGATATTACCTCATGTGGGAGGCTGCTAACGGCTCCCAAAGAGATCAGGTGCTGATCTTTGCAACCTCTAAAGGTTACTTTATGTGGAAAAAGCGTCTTTACAGATATGATTAAACTAAGGAGTTTGCGATGGGGAGATTATCCTGGATTATCTGGGTGGGCCCTAAACGCCATCACAGTGCCTTGTAGGAGAGAGGTAGAGGAATATCTGACACACACAGAGGAGGAGGTGATGTGAAGACGGGGCAGGGAGAGATGTGAAGATGCTGCCCTTTGAAGAATGGAGTGATATGGCCACAAGCCAAGGAAGGCTGGCAGCCTACAGAAACTGAAAGAGGCAAGGAATAGATTATTCCCTAGAGCCTCTGGAAGGACAGGTACCTGCAGATACTTTGATTTCAGCATAGTAATTCTGATTTCTGACTTCAGGCCTTCAGAACTGCAAGATAATAAATTTCTATTGTTTTAAGCCACCAAGTTTGTGTTACTTTGTGTAGCAGCCATAGGAAACTGAGAATACACTGACAAAAAAACCCTCGCCATTATATAATTATACATTCATTCTGTGATATGACAATTTATTAACACATTAATTTTTTTCATTTTCTCTATACTTTACCTTCTTCCCTCTTAAGTAGATAACTCATTAGCTTGAAATTTCTTGCCCTGGAGATTTTTGCAGGGTTGACCAAGAAAACTGCCTAAGTGAAAGACAGATCTTATATTGTGTAGAAACCCAAGCTCACTGAAGTAATTATGTAGGTGTTGAGATGGGATGGGGAGAGTGGGGTGGATGCACAGAGTGTGACAGAAACAGCAAAGGGTTGAGAAAAGAAAGAGTCCCCAAAACCAGAAAGAAATTAAATATCAATTTAATTGCCTCTGCAATTGCTAGAGGCCTATCCCACTTTCTTACACTACAAAAAATGACCACGACTGAATGTTTGCTGTTCAGTGGGATGAGGGCTTGGTGTCAGATATAAATAGAAATAAAAGAAAAGTAATATTTCATAAACATATGGCTTTGTGAACAAAGACTCAATGCCCTCGATATTTAATGCTTTCTTCCACACCAGTCTGCAATCACCACGAAGATGGGGTCCTAACTTGTTTACCACTGTGTCCTCAGAGCCTAGCACTGACCATGACCCATAGTAGGTGCTTGATAAATACTGTTGATCTTTTTGCATAAATAGAATGAGCTAGTGGTCCCTGAGGGTCAAGAATTCAAAGACGCTCACAGGGCCACACTGACCCACACTGTTGGAGTCTCCAAGGGGACCCCCTACTTACAACACTCCTCCCTCTTCCCCACCCACATTCTAAGCACTGAAAAATAATACAAAGAGCAAAGACAAAAGACAAAATGTCCCCTTCATCACTGGCAGCAGCCATGTTCGAGCACTTGGGTTCAGGTCCAAGAGGACTTGCTAACTGAAATCCAGAAATGGGCAGACTGTCCCATCCAGGCAGCAGCGGCATGGACCAGGGTGGGGCTCCCCTCAAGAAGGAAGGAAGAGAGGAGATCTCGTGCTTCCATGGGCCATCTTGCTTTCCAGTAGAAGGGCAGAGCTGAGAGGAGTGTGCCCAGTTGTTCTCCCCAGACTGACCAGGGGTACACTAAGGGGCCAGAACAGTGGGGCTCCTGTCACCTTATGTCCCACCCTAATCAACATGTATAATTAATCAGTGAATTCTCTCTCACTCCACTTCCATGTAGCTAACTCATGTGACTAGCAAAGCTCTCCGTGGCCCCTTCCACACACCCTGGCCGTGGTCCTGGGTCCTATGTAAGTGGCCTGGGTGCTGTGGCTGGGCTGCCCTCTAGTTCACCCATACGCTTCAGTGCCTGCCAGTGACCGCATTAATTTCAACAGTCAAATGCATATCCCAAATCTGTTTGTGTCAAGTATACTTATCATGGCATTTACATTTTAAATTAAATAATATGTGAATGGGGAAAACAAAAGTGTGATATGAAAGAGAGCGGTTTCTATGAAAATTAAGCTTAGTGTTTTGGAAAGGTTCAAGGAAGGTGGCATTGCTGATGTAGTTTATGCAAAAGAGATGACTGGGAAACTCCAAGCAGCAGACCCTTACTCCAAAAAAGGCTTTATAATAAAAGACTAGCAAGTGAATGTACAGTTATGTTTTAGGGTAAAGCAAAATGTGTCAAGTATCATCTTCTGCAATTCCCTATGTTAGCCTCTTGGTTGGCTGGTTTGGTTGGTTGGTTATTCAACCAACTACTGGTCTCAGTCCTGTTGAATAAAAGGGCTTCTGCCACAGATAATGCAGAAAGCCACTGTGGGCTCATCAAAGTCAATCAGGTTTTCTGCAGTTTTCTTCCTCTCCGAAGGCTGTCCTACAGTCACGCAGATACACCCGCACTCGCTCCATAGCTGGCTAATTCACATCCATTTATGAAGTAAACACTATTCAGAGCGGGACCCGAGGCTCCCTTCCCTCCTCCTCAGGAACTTATTTACTTTTGCTTCTCTTATTTATTCTAAAGATTCTTAATTATTCCTAAAATATTCTAAAGATGAGAAGCTTTGAGAAGGTAACTACAGATAGTCACTGACTTATGATGGTTCGACTTACAATTTTTCTATTTCATGATGGAGTAAAAGCAAGCAACGTTCATTCACTAGAAAATGCACTTTGAATTTGGATCTCTTCCTGGGCTGGTGATATGCAGTGATGATACTGTCTCGTGATGCTGGGCTGCGAACCACAGCTCCCCGTCAGCCACGTGATCACAGGGCAAACAGCCGATACACTTACAACCATCCTGTACCCACACAACCATCCTGTTTCTCACCTTCAGTGCTGTATTCAATTAATGACATAAGATATTTGACACTTTATTATACAAGAAGCTTTGTGTTAGATGATTTTGCCCAACTGTAGACTAATGTAAGTGTTCTGAGCACGTTTAAGGCAGGCTAGGCTACGCTATGATGTTTGGTAGGTTGAGTGTATTAAATGCATCTTTGACTTATGGTATTTTCCATTTACCATGGTTTATGGAGACATAACCCCACTGTAAGTCAAGGAAGATCTGTACTAAAACGTTTCACCACGGGACAGGAATGAGTGAGAGGTTAAGAATGATACTTACCGCCCCAGGTAGACTTGGGTAGAACGTTTTTTTAAAAGTTTTGTGGGTTCCTTCATTCTTTTCCGGATGCCCTGACAATAACCCCACGTGTGCTCCAGCTTCCTGTCAGGATCCAGCACTTCCAGCACCTTTAAAAAGAGTTACAAACAGAAAACAACTTTGGAGGAAAGAAAGATGAGCTGAAAAGGGTGCCCCTTGATTCTAAAACAGAATGGACCTAGTCATCCCTTTCCTTTTCCTTTTCAGCTGGTCAATTCTGTTTATCAATTCCAGTGCAAATACAGCGCTGGGTGCTGCAAGTAAACGTCCGTCACCTAGACATTAGCTATGTGGCCTTTTTACTGAAGTTCCGTCTCCTCTAGATGGAACAGTGCCTCTGGATCCACCCGGACCCCACTGCCCCATAGAAAAAAGTGTCTCTAGAGGATTTCTGTTTATTTGACTGCCCATCATCCATTCTTCCTCCTATGAGTAACAGTCTGTAGAGTTTTCTTTGGAGAATCATGTCTCTCTCCACTCTCAGTCCTTGTGATCTGAATTGGCCTGACCACTCATCACTCTGCAGTCTGACCAGGTTAATCAGGCCCACAGTGACTGGCTTAGGAATGGGTACAAGACCCAAGTGAGACCCAGGGAAATTTGGTCATGGAATTTTGCTGGAACCGTGCAAAAAGAGGTGGTGTTTTTCTGGGTAAAATTTACATCTAGAGCTGCTGGTGGCCATCATAGCACCACAAGAAGAGATCCTGCTTCAGAAGGAAGCCAACACATTTGTCTGAGGAGGTCAGGCATGGGAATAAGAGCCACAGTCCCATGTGCCCTCTAAGGAGGTGTGCAAAAAATCTCTTTGTCATGGACTCAGAAGCTCTGGCCCGCAGGAGGCAGTGAAGGAAAGCCCAGGGGGCAAATCATTGATTAGAAATTCCAGTTGTCCTTTCTACAGACTTCCCTGACACTAATCACTTACTCATTCATTCATTCATTATCCATAAATATTTATTGAGTGTCTACCATATGCCAGGTATTGGTGGTACACAGTGAAAGACACAGATAAAATCCCTGCCCTTGAAAGGCCCTGCCCTTGTAGAGCTTTTATTCCAGTGAGAAGCCCAGCGCTGACAACTGCTAGGATGGAAATAGATCATGGTAAGGCACAGAGGATGAGAGGGAGGGGAGTGCCTTTTTATGTAGGCCTCTCCAGTGAGGAGATAATTGAGGAAAGAGCTGAAGCAAGTGAAGGAGTGAGCCTGGCAGACATCTGGGGGCAAGTGCTCCAGACAAAGGAACAGAAACCTAAACTGGACATCTTGTTCACGTTTGCTGAGCAGCCAGGAGGCCAGAGTGGCTGCAGCAGACTGAGGAGGGCAGAGGAGTAGGCGGTGAGGTTGGAGAGGGAGCAGGGCAGGAATGGGTTGGAGCACAGAACACGCAGGGCTTTCCAGACCATGGCAAGGACTTCACTCTGAATGAGAAGCTTTGAGCAGAGGCGTTTACCTTCTCAACAACTGTCATGCTTGCTGACACAAGGAACAGACTGCAGGGGGTAAGGGAGTAGGGGGGTAGCAGGCACTGTTAGTTCCCTGTCCAATATCCATCCTGCCCCCTTTCCTTAAATCTAATAGAATTTTGTCCTGGATTTTGTTCAGTGCTGCAATAGCCACCCAAGAAATTCAATTTTCTAGACTCCCTAGCAGCTATGAGTGGTCAGATGAATGAGATGTTTACTGGGAAAGCTACTATTTGCCTAATTAAAAGAGTCAGCTGGCATGCAACTTTTAAACTCTGCCCCTTCCCCTTCTTGTCTGAAAGACAAACTCGATGCCTGGAGGTGTGGAAGCCATTTTGAGCTATAAGGATAAGAGAAATATGCTAAGGACATTAGACCTGCAAGTTAAAAGAAGCCTGGGACAGAGGCGACATATTGCAGCTGCTGCCCAGCCCTAGTCTTGGCAGTCTGGTGAGATTTCCCATGACATTTCACGTGCTCAGGTGCCTTTCTAGCCATCAGTTAACAATTCTCACGGACACCTCACAAGACCAGGCTAACGTGACAGAAGCAAGACTGAACAATTCCTCCACTCTATTCTCCCCCTAAAAAGTCACAAGCAAAGTAGACTGGTAGAGCTTCAGGTGTAAAGAAGTCGGACACTTCTGGTTTGCTGGGCCTTTATAAGTTGGATGGCCTCATAGGAAGCACAGGGAGCGGCGGGTATGTTGCTGCCATTTGCACGTCTTAGAAAGCTGCTCCAAAGCCCAGGAGAACTGCCCCCCCTGGGGACACATTCATCACCCTCACCCTCTGGAGGGAACTCCCCAGGCATCTAAGGAGCAATATGCCCCAGGTGGTCACCTCTGCGGGCATGTCTTCCTCCAGGTCCGGGTAGAGAGCCGAGGGGTGCGGGGTCGGATGGGCCTCAACGTCCGCCAGGAAGTCCTTCCGCGCCTGGCGGGCCGGTGAGAGCGTGGAACACAGGCCTGCTTCCCTAGGTAGCATGTCCCTCTGGCTCCTCTTCGGGGCAGGTTGGGGAGCTCTGTGATAAATCTGGGGGAGAAAGCCCTCCTCGGGGCCCTGAGTGATCACACCTCCGCAAGGCGGGCAGCCTTTCCGGAAGTCATCCAGTCGCGTTCTCACAAATCTCCACCGCCGGCTGTTCAGTGACGTGGGGCGTGGCGACCTGCGCCTGTGCTTTGTGAAGCACTTGGACGGCAGATCTTCTCTGTACCTGCGAGACAACATGCCGGTGTTATGGACCACAAGGACCACAAGGGTGGGAGAAGGGGGTTGTGAGCAGGCTGGCCTCCACCTGTTTCAGGAGAGGCGGGGGAAGGGAGGGTCATGTGGCGAAGTCTGAGTTAATCACAGTCCTGGTTCATGGCACGTTATCGCTGGTCTGTGCAAGGCCCCTCTCCTGTTTTCTTTATTCTACGTTATTCCCATATCCCACCATCATTGCCCTCCCCTGCACAAGCAAAACCACTCTAACAGATTTGGAATGTACCCGTTGTTTGCAGCCATCCTTATAAGACCTGTGTATCCTTCATGTACATAAATGGTACTATTCTGTTACTTGCTTACCAAGCAGGATACCATGAAGGCTCATCCGTGTCACTATGTGTAAATGTAATCCATTATTACATTTGGTGGTGCTGTCACCACCATCCAGCTATCCAGTCTCTTTGTGAAGAATACTCACAAGTTGTGACCCCTCTTGGGACTCTTTCTTATCCTTTAAAGGGACACAGTGCAGTGGGAAGAGCTTGGACACAGTGACAACTCGCCCCTAACTAGCTGCATGACCTTCGCCCTTCATTTAACCTTTGTGGACCTCAATTTCTCCTCTAAACTCAGGGGGTCAAGGGTTGCAAACTGGTTGTTCATGGACTGTATCAGGCCCACAAACCTGTCATTTGATCCCATTTGTGTTTTAATAAGAATCATAAGAGTTCACATGTATTGAGAACTTTCTATATAACACGTGTTGTTCTAAGTGCTTTACATGAATTAACTTATTTTAATCTCATAACAATCCTATGAAGTAGGTACTAATATTATTCCCATTTACAGATAAGGAAATCGAGGCACAAAGAAGTTGAAAACCAAACACTTGTCAAAGTTCCCACAGCTAATAAGGGAGAGAGCTGAAATTTTAATACAGGTAGTGTGCCTCTGGAGAGAGGTGTTTAACCACTATGCCAGAGCTTCTGACATATAAAAAAGTTCACACAAATAATCTGGAACAGAAATCAGGAGCTCTGGGGACACTGGGTCCACCTATCCATGGAGCCATTATTGGTATAAGGGCTGCCATCTTTAGACAAGTCCTATGCTCTCTTATTCACAGTCTCTACCACTCCCTACTGCCTTATGTGCAGCCTGCTTCACTCTGTTTCTTTACCCATCAGACCCCTGTTTGCACTGAGTAGTTAGGGCATGAAGCTAAGATGGAAGAGACAGATGGACAAATAGGAAGGAAAATGGGACCTGGATAATCTAATATATCCAGCCATTGGCAGAGTCAGGACTTGGAACCTGAGCAGCTTAATGGCAGGTCTCTCATTATCCTAAAACATCACACTGCCCTAGTCATATATTTCTACATTATTGGTGTCTTTCCTTGAAGCCTCTTCCACCTCCAGGCCCTTCTCATCTATAATTACTCGTTACAGCAAATCTACTCCTTGTTGAACTCATCCTTATAGGCACAAAACTTTTTTTTTTTTTTTTTTTTTTTTT